ATATATATATATATATATTAGTGCTGGGCAACAATTAAAAATTTTAACCGTGATTAATCGCATGATTTTATGTGATTAATCGCATTTTTGCACAAAATTCAATAATGCATTCAAAAGTAGTGTATTGTGCAATTTTTTCATTTAAAAGTACTACTATATGAACAAAAGTGCTATAAAATTTGGTTTGCAAACACTTTAAATAAATAAGGTGCTTTTTTGACCGAAGCATTCCTTTTACATAGTAGCAGTTAAAATATTTCTTGTAAATCTCAACTTATAACATTAATGTAATCAAATTAAATATAAAACCAAAGCTATTTGCCACTGCCAGGGCATTAACGTTTTGTCTAGTTTGTTATAGAAAAACAAGTTATGCTCAGAGTCCAGAGCCTCGATCATAACATTATAACAGGCACCTTCCGAGTAGAGACCTAACGCAGCAGAGTGCAGCGCGGGACAACACTTGATGGGTGAGTGCGGATGCAGGAGAATATGGGTGTATCACACTAGGCAATCTTAACCGTGCCTGAGCGTGGTTCGTTTAGCTGGCCCTGGCTCGGCTGGAAGAGGTGGGCCAGAGCGGATTCCGTTATATATAGATCAGAGAGTGTGAGCGCTAACCGCGCCAGAGCGCAGAACTTCTGATACGTGCAGCATGATTGCGTGAACATTTCTGAGCGGCAAAATTGATAGATCTGTAAAGCAATATATTGTGAGAGGGCCGTGTGCTACTGTGTCCAAAACGACTCAAAATAATAAACCACAAAGTTAACAAAACGATGCACTCCACTGTGCTGAGCGAGAGCGCTTCTCTTGTAAAGCAATATATTGTGAGAGGGCCGTGTGCTACGGCGTTCCAAACGACTCAAAATAATAAACCACAAAGTTAACAAAACAATGCACTCCACTGTGCTCAGCGAGAGCGCTTCTCTGCTGTCTTCACGTGCTATCGGAAACTTCCTATTTCCCACTCATGAAGTCGTGATTACGAGCTTGTTGCATTTTTTTCTGTTAAAAATAACAGTGAACAGTGGTTTGTGAATGTTGATGATAATAATAAAAAAATGCATTAATGCGCGATAAAATAATTGTCGGCATTAATCAATTAATGCGTTAACGTGATAATAACACATTAACTTGCCCAGCCCTAATATATATATATATATATATATATACACACACACACACACACACAGCAGGCCTATTACAATATGAAAATGCGTATTTTTCAATTAAAGACGATTTATAGATTTAATATGGGCTGCTTTTGTTGCTTGACACTTTTTATTGGTCATTTTGTGTTTCAAGAATAAGGTCTAAGGTTAAGAATAAACTATTAGCTATAAAAAATGTTTTTTCTCTATTTTACATTACAAAAGTGAAAGACGACTTCCTCTTATTGATCAGATCTCAGGTTGCACGTTTTCTTGCGCAGCTGGATGTTGGACTCATGAAAAATAATCACGTTGTTTGTATTTGCCAAAACTGATTTACTGAAGTCAAAACATATTGGCATAAAACGGCCATAAAACAGAATTGGCGTTAGCGCGAGCGCCGCTTGCTGTGATCAGTCAGTGGTTAGCAGTCAAGAAACAGGACAAGGGAGGTCACGTACGGGACACATAAATTAAGCCCAATATACAGGACGTCTCGGCTAATATGGGACGGTTGGCAACCCTATGTAACAGGGACATGTTTTCTTTCAATCCTGTGCATCACGGCTCTTTCATACCATCTTAAGCCTGTCACATTGGCTCCACCTTGTGGTCAAATGATCCAGCACACTATTCTTAGCTGGGTCCCACATGCTTCACTTGATGTGGCTTTTGTTTGTGCATGTCCGTACGGTCCTCAAGATTTTAGGCTGTCCCATTTGTCATTTTATGATTGAGTAGGCCCCTTTATTGCTACAGTGTAGTCAAAGTGTGGAGCGCAAGGGCTGAGGGCAGCATTTAGGACAGGGTTCTTAGTGCTGTTTAAGTGTCCAAACATTTATGGCTATTAAAATAGGTAAATCGCTTTCAGAAACAGACAAATATGTGTATGATAAGCAGGCTTGGCTGAAGCTGTTGTCTTCATTTTGTAGAGTACCGGGGGATATTGATGAGGTGAATGCTCTCAAGCTACAGGTGGACCAGTGGAAACTTCCAGACAACCTCTCAGATCCCAATGTCCCTGGTGAGAACATCAAACATTCACATTTATATCTCAAACAGCCCTTACATGGAGAAAGTGAGACCTTTAGACCAGAGGTTTTCAACCTTCTGGACTTGAAGGCCCCCCGTTGTCTGACATTATATCCCCGAATATATTTAGGCTACAGTATTTCTGCTATAGTTATGACGAAACTGCAGAAATTTATTAGAAGATACCAGGGCTATTCTATTAAATGCATTTTGTGATTCCAGAAGTTTTTTTTTTATTATTATTATTATTAAAAACAGTTGTTAGTGATGTGGAAACATTTGTTTACATCTTGATTTTATTGGGGGGGGGGGAGATTAGAGTTAGATTATTTTAAATATGTTAACTTAACATATTAATATAATAATAATAATTAATATTTATAATTTATTAATTTAAATACTCTGACCTCATGCGCAGTAGACACAGTAGACATCATATTTAATGTTTTTAGTTTCTGTTGATTGTTGTAGCTGGGAGATAATTGTTCTGTCTACAAAATACTGAAAATGTCTTTCCTCAAATTTTCAGCAGACAAAAAATATTGGCTGTTCAGTACTTGCCTGTTAGCTTTAGTTTTTATCATCTATTATACTGCTAAAAGCTGACATAATGAATTATAGCAGATATACAGTATGACTTAAATATTAACAGGGTCATTCCGTGTCAAATCAACCAAATTTCAGAAACTTCCCCGGCTCAAATGTTTGATTTTGCTAATATTTTTTCTGAAGAAAGATAAACATGTATAGTGATGAAAGCCAACGTATTAGATGTCATGGATGAATATTTACTGAGTGATCCACTTTTTTGTAGAGGGGGGTCAAAATGGCAGTTTTCACCTGAGATTCAGAGCCAATTTACTGGGGGGTAAAAATGACGTCAGAAAGATGGCAGCATCATAATGTTATTTTTACACAGAGATTGGTAGGTCTGTTAGTAAAATCTGTTGACTTTAACAATCTTTGTTGCATTATGTGTTAATGGTGACCATTAAAAAATGGGGAAACAGCACTTTTCAAGTTTATTCTCCAAAGTTTGCAGGCCTGTAACTCAAAATGTATTAAAGATATCTTAATGACCTTTTAGATATTGGGTCTTAACAAACTTTCCTTTTGGCATCTTCATTTGTAAGGCCCTATATGGTTTGGTTCCAGAGACATTTGGATCTCAATATGACTCCAGGGGTAAATCATCAAATTGTACACATTTTCAATGGTCAAAAACCAAACGTGGGTCACGTTGCAAAAATATGATACTTTTCTTTTCTTCAGAGGAATGTCTGAAGAACAAATAATGTTGAAACTAGAGATGTGTCTCGTTTCTTTCTGTCAAAACAACTGCATTGAACATGCCTGTCTGAGTGCCATAAATATTATTTTTCCAAAGTTTGGGTGCCTAGTATAACTCAAGAAGTATTAAAGATATTGCCATATGATTTTAGTTCTTAATAAACTTCTCTTTTGGAATCTTAATTTTTAAGGCCCTACATCATTCAGTCCCAGAGATATGGGGATCTCAATGAGGCTCCATTTTCAGATTGTTGAATATTACCCATTTTCAGCGCTTGAAAACCAAATGTTGGTCACTTTGTATACAGCTGATACTTACTGTATTTAAAGCGGAATATCTGAAGAATAAGTAATGCTGAAACTAGATATGTACCTTGTTTCAATCTATCAAAACTTTTGTTTAGAACATACTGTACCTGTTTGAGTATCATACATTTTCTTTTTTCCAAAATGTGCCTGCATGTAACTCAAGAAGTACTACAGTTAATATGAACAAATCTTAATATGATTTCTGGTTCCTAAGAAACTTTTCTTTTGGAATCTTCATTTTTAAGGTCCTGAATGGTATAATCCCAGAGATATTGGGATCTCACTGCAGCTCCATGTCCAAATTGTAGTATCCTACCCATTTTTAATTGTCAAAAATGAAATGTGGTTTAGTGTTTATCTTGTCATCACTGTTGACACTGTCAAATATGCAAATAATAACAGTAACCCAGGGTCTAGGAATGTACAGTGTGACACGTCAGATTATGAATGACCAGGATTAATTGTTAATTCTAGGTAAAGTATGAACAGTGTGAAATGTACAATAAGATTACCCAGATCCCATTTACCTGGGGTTTAGAGTTACCCAGTGTTAATTATTTCAAGTGAGAAAGACCTTAAATGTTTGAGGTACTATCAGTGATTCTGCCAAATATGCCATTTACAAGTAAATACTACTTGATCTGACTATGCTTCACATTATATAACAATAAAAAAAGAAAAAGAAATTCTAGTAATTAATCCAGGTTAGGCAAATCTTGGTTTATTGATGTGAATGCAATGAAAGCAACCACTTTTCCCTATGAGGTATGGGATTTGTTTCAATCATGTTACAATACTGCATATCTGAACTATAGGTAGCTTCAGAAGCGGTTAAAATGAACAAAATCCCTTCTTCAAAATATCCCTGAAACTAATTCAAATATAGAATCTTATGAATAGACTACTGAGAGAAAGGTAATGTGCCTCAGCTTGTCCGTTTCAGTGCATTTTTAGCACTCCGACAGGCATGTTTTATACATATTGTTTTGATAGAGGGAAACAAGGTACATATCTAGTTCCAGCATTACTTATTCTTCAGATATTCCGCTTTAAATACAGTAAGTATCAGCTGTATACAAAGTGACCAACATTTGGTTTTCAAGCGCTGAAAATGGGTAATATTCAACAATCTGTAAATGGAGCCTCATTGAGTTCCCCATATCTTTGGGCTTAGACGATGTAGGGCCTTGAAAATGAAGATTCCAAAAGAAAATGTTATTAAGAACTAGAATCTAAAATCATATGGCAATATCTTTAATACTTCTTGAGTTATAGGCACGCAAACGTTGGAAAAAGAATATTTACGGCACTCAGACAGGCATGTTCAATGCAGTTGTTTTGACAAAGAAACAAGATACATCTCTAGTTTCAACATTATTTGTTCTTCAGACATTTCTCTTTAAAACAAAAGAAGTATCATATTTTTGCAAAGTGACCCACATTTTGTTTTTGACCAATGATGTGTACAATTTGATGATTTACCCCTGGAGCCATATTGAGATCCAAATGTCTCTGGAACCAAACCATATAGGGCCTTACAAATGAAGATGCCAAAAGGAAAGTTTGTTAAGACCCAATATCTAAAAGGGCATTAAGATATCTTTAATACTTTTTGAGTTACAGGCCTGCAAACTTTGGAGAATAAACTTGAAAAGTGCTGTTTCCCCATTTTTAAATGGTCACCATTAACACATAATGCAACAAAGATTGTTAAAGTCAACAGATTTTACTAACAGACCTACCAATCTCTGTGTAAAAATAACATTATGATGCTGCCATCTTTCTGACGTCATTTTTACCTCCCAGTAAATTGGCTCTGAATCTCAGGTGAAAACTGCCATTTTGACCCCCCTCTACAAAAAAGTGGATTACTCAATAAATATTCATCCATGACATCTAATATTTTGGCTTTCATCACTATACATGTTTATCTTTCTTCAGAAAAAATATTCGCAAAATCAAAAATTTGAGCCGGGGACCTCAAATATTGGACACATTTTTCAAATGCTCTCTAGAATGACTACAATCCACTCACACTAATAACACTTGTCATTTATTATTAATAGAAAGTAGCAATTTAGAGTTTTGCTTTGAAATTTAAATACAATTGTTAAGTTTGTTGATTTTTTTTTGTGCTACAACAATGTTTCTGTAAGAAGAAAATAAAATTGTTCATCAGACCATTTAATATGGTCTTTAAGACAGAACAATCATTCTCAGTAACTTTTCGTTTGCATCCAAAAACATATTCTCTCTACTTAAAGATGTATATACTATAATATAAGTGCATATATTTGTGTGAAAGTGTGAATATTATCGAATTCCTATAAAATATGGACAAGCAGGACAGGAATGTAAGGTTTCTCTCTCTTTCTCTGTGTCAGCGTCTCTGTTGAAGTTGTGGTACAGAGAGCTGGAGGAGCCTGTGATTCCTCAGAGCTTCTATAAGCAGTGCATCAGTCACTATGAAGATCCTGATGCAGCCATCAGTGTGGTTCAGTCGCTCCCGGAGCTCAACAGACTCGTGCTCTGCTACTTCATCAACTTCTTACAAGTAATGCCATTTGAACACAACCCTGCGGTGCCATACACAATAACAACACTGATTTCAACGCTCTGTCTTTCTCTTACGCCAGGTCTTTGCTCAGCCGGTGAATGTGAGTAGGACTAAGATGGACGTGAATAATTTGGCGATGGTCATGGCTCCAAACTGCCTGCGCTGTCAGTCTGACGATCCTCGAATCATCTTTGAAAACACACGGAAAGAGATGTCCTTCCTCCGCATACTCATCGTCCACTTGGACACTGGCTTCATCAAGGGCTTAATCTAGTTATTTTGCGGCATAGCTCAGATTGAATCATCCAGGAGATGATGGGAATCAGGACCTTCTTCTGCTCAGAGAATCATCTTTAAGCATCCTAATATTAGTTCGGACAATGTCTCAACTAATCCAGCTTTGCCTCAATGTGAATCATCCTGAACTTGACTCTCATGACTCTTCTTGAAGCCAGACATTATTTGAACTGAATCAATTGACTGAGTTTGATTCCGCAACAAAACAAATGCATGACGTTTGTTATTTTCTGTCTTTTATATTGATTAGCAGGGAAATACATTCTTTGGACAATCATAATCGTAATAACATGACCTGCAGCATATTTCCTTAATTTAATAAGGTATGAGTGTTCTGATTATTTAATAGCAACCGTTTGTAAGCTCATCTATGAGTGCAGGGAGAATTTCTGACTTCAGTTGTGTGTATAAGGCTGAGCGTAAGCAAGAAAAGGTGAATTAACATTGCAGAGCTCTGAAATACTAGTGGTCAAGCTTTGAGCTTGAGGTCTGGTGCCTTACATGAGAATGATCGATGATGTATAAGATGCATAAGTGCCCATAAATACACCCTCCACATTTCTGCATTGTCATAGACTCCAAATGAACTGGTACCACAAGCAATTTTCATTTAGTCTCTCACTGTAGTTTTCCCAGTCGTCCCATTTGGAAATAGAAAATTATATTTCCAGATGTGGTTTGGCTACATCCAAGAAGATTGTGCAGAACTATTCTGTAGCAAGTTAAACCAGGAACCAGACTGGAACCAGGAACCACTCCTCTCACAAGGTAGCTGCTGCTCATTGGCACACTGAAAGTGCAAAATCGCATACTTCCCCACTACATAGTATGCGAAAAACAGTATATGAGGTGAGTAATATGCCTGAAATCATAGTTTTCAAAAAACAGTAGGCAAAAAGTTCCCGGATGATCTACTACTTCCTCCAGGATCCTGAAGTGTGCATTTGATGGACACTTTATTATCCCATTAGGCCACAGGAGAAGATTTATGAATGGCAGTGAAGCAACGCTGGTAGGTCATGTGACAGTAACAACATGGCGGATGTAGTACATACAAATTTCATTTCGAACATACCTTCGGTTTCAGTTGATCCAGCAGCTCCAACATCAAGGGATGGCCAAAAATGGTGTGTTCAGATTTGCCCAGGCTAAATAAACACTTTAAACATACTCTACACAAGAATGCAATAATACAAAAAAAAAACACAAATATTTGGCCAAGGCAGCCATGTGGTCTTGTCGTACAAATGCAATTTCTTTGCCACTGACTAATGACTTTTTTTACACACTTATATTTCTTTAAACACCTCTCCTGTCTGCCATTCGTTAAACGAACACATAGCTCCGCCCCAAGCTCACACCATTGGTCGAGCTGTTGCCATGTCAGGCTAGTAGTCTACATGTTTAAACATGTTTACATTTTTCAGGGGAATCAATCTACAAATGACTGACTTGTACTTGTCGCTGCGTTATTTTGGGATATATGAAAGTACTTAAACCTCAATAAGATGACATTTTTGCGTTACTGTGGCCATACTAAATTCACTCAAAGTGGAGATATATATACCCTTTATATAACTCTCTACTCTCATTCACTATTTCCTAAATTAGTCCACTGATATAGTCCACTTTAAGAAGTGAATGAATACTAGTGAGCTGGAAGTGTACGCCATTAGATGCGGGAATTCATTTGTCACAACACTTAACGTTACAGTGCATGGGTATTTACTAGTGGTTAGCCTTTGAGCATACATAGGTCGTGCACTCGTTGTTGCAGTGCATTATGGGATTAAGCACTCTAATGTCCACTATGGTTTTGGACACCACTGCATGCTGGCAAATGGCAGTCCTCTCAAATCCTCTCAGACACAGATTACCTTCAGATGGCTGAGCCATTAAACTGATGTGCTCAGATTCTCTTCAAAATTACTGCCATGTCAGCTGTTTACCTGACAGAAAAAAAACTGACCACAGAAGAAAACAGTTTATGCTAATGTTGGCTTTAGTGCCCCTTGAGGCAAAGCTGAGAATGTGTGCACTTACAGGAAACAGAAATCGATCTTGTGCAGCTAAGCATTTAGAAGACTTCAGGTCATCAACACTGGTAGCATCTGAACGTGGAAAATGCAGTCTGTTCTTGATCCATTACTCAGAACTGAACTTCAGTGATTCATATCTGATATACAATCAAACAGTCACATTTGCTATTGATATAAAGTGGGATCCGCCATCAGCTCTGCCTGTGCTTCTGTATATAAGCCCCTCATCTGATGGATAGTTGTGTTTATAAAGCCGAATGGTGAAAGTAAGTGAGCCCATCCCATGTTGCACTTCCCCCTCAGTTTCTTTCCCTTCCTGTGGGTCTGTATGATCACTGCAGAGACTGATACTCCTCCGGCACTCTTACTGTAAATGCTTCTTACGGATTTTGTGTCTTATTTTGTTCTATCTGTGTGAGGTTGTGTGTAGGAGATGACAGTGAATTATGATATGAATGATGCGTGTTTAAATTTGCATAGTTTCATAAAGAACTCCGTAATAAAATTTGTAAATTTGTATAATTGTACAGAAGTGGTTGGGAGTTTCACTTCCTTAATTTGTCTCTGGCTTTCCACCGTATATGGACAGAGCAAGAGTTTGCCAGGTGCAGAAACGCAATAAGCACTGTGCTAGAGAATTCTATGCCACAAAGTATTCAGATATACTATATATAATATAGATATATATAAGTATTTTCAGATCGATTTTCAGCATTTCAGCCCAAAATCAATAGAATGATTGGCTCATATGGTGCTTAGTTTGTAGTATTATGAAAATAGAAGGATATTCACTAGTTTAGTCACTATTGCAAAAAATAAATAAATAATTATTTTAGATTAGATTCAATAAATAATATACTTGAGAGCATCTACAAACCTCTCAAAAGAATAGAAAGGAAAAAAGCTCTTGTGGTGAAGTCAGCAATCTCCTCCAGTACTGTTACCAACTGAAGTAATGAAAATTTATCATAATCTGGAAACAATACTAAAGCTCAAACAATAATCCTTTATGAATGACCTGTGGCCACACGTATATAACCACGTTTTGAAAAATAAACTGAGATTTTCTGGGTATTGTACTGTATTTGTTCTGCACCAGAATACTTTCTTTCCAGGTCCTTTTTTTTTGCAATCGAGCTCAGTTTCATTCTAAACAGGCTCAAATTTCATTACACAGGATTTCTCATGCCAGTCATAGAGCAATGCTGTTCATTCAGTGCCTGGTGTCTTTGTCAGCTCTTACCCGTCAGTCCATTGCCCTTGTCGTCTTTGCTCAATTTGGGTAGTCATCTAATCATAATCATATGTGATGTGTTATGCATATGCTGCTTTGATGTCCGTTTGATTGTGCAATCAAGCCATTGAGCCAATGGAGGTCTATTTTGTGTCCAGGGCTATTAAAGAAACATGAAAAGGAAGGGACAAAATCATACAGACATTCACTTGAGAACACACACTGGACATATTTGACATTTCTGAACTGAAGGTTGACTGTGACTGCATATCTATTGTGTTGACATGACCGGTATCTTATACTAACACCTAGTGGTGTAAATGCAACATCACACCACAGCAACAGATGTAACTAATGATTACATTATAGAAATGCTCTATGCACAGTCTGCCGATAGTTTGAGAATGAAAGTGGCCAATAAGAGGATTTTTTTAGCTGGTTAATGATCTCAAAATGTCTCAACATGATGACTGACTCCATCAAAAATGTATTTATTAGATTAGGGTTTCGCAAACTAGGGAACTAGGTTACATGAGGTTTGTGAGTTGATGAAAAGCTATAATATAAGTTATATTTATTTATTAATGTTCATTTATTTTTTTAAATGGTAGACATGAAACTAGATGTTAAAAGGGCTGTATTTCAGTAACTGTAAGATTTTGATTCATAATGTCAGTGTTTTCTCTATCATTGGTTTTCTATGTTGTTTTCAAACAGCCTTAAGTTAAAATAATAATTTCCCACTAAATATTTGACTGAAACGCCTATGACAGGTGAGCGACACTGTGACATACGCATACAGTATAACTGTATCGACGTTTTTCAAAAAGCATGAAACAAAATAAATACAAAATTGCTTTTCTATGAACTGGCCATATGCGTTTTAAACTAGTTTTTTGTTCATTGCTATTGACCTATAGGCCTATACCGTGGCCAAGATAATTTGGGATGTAAATACGTGTAATTAAAATAAGGCATACATACGTTAGTCCCTTGTATTATTCATAATCAATTTTGTCTCGTGAATAAACTAAACTATTCCGTCACCTTTTGATGGGAAGCGTGTAAAACGAGAAGAAGACGCAGGAAAAATCTCCCTCAAAATGAGGAGGAAACGGCGAGGAATATTCGGTGCGCGCATGCGCAGACAGACTCCACCTCGCGGACACCGGCCTTGCTGCTCGCGCCGGAGAAAACAAACTGCGTGGATGCGCCGCGCTCTCAAAGCATGCGGCTTCAAGCAGTCTTCACGCGTGTGGACTTGCTTTCTTCGGTGTCGGAGTACATTTATCAGCAATAAAGGTAAACGGCGCTGTGATTATATATTGCAAAATACTAAGTAGCTGTCTTGGACGTTTTATTTGTTGTAATTGTGAAATGTATCATTTTTATAAGATGATGCTATTCTGTTAAAACGAAACTTGCCTCCATGCATGTGTTCCCCTGTTTGATGCTAATGGGACGCATGGAAGTGATTTAGTCAAATAGTGCATTCATGCAAAGTGTCAGCAGCTCCGGTCATGCTTCTTAAGCAGATCGCGATAAATGCGCGTTTGGGCTTCTTAAATAGCTGGAAGACTTTTGTTCGCCTCGTAATTACGGTAGTCCCATGCAGCAAGGAGTAGGCCGAGCGGAGGCCGCTGAGCGTCAGAGTTTGACTGACAGGTGCGCGGTCCAATCAGAACGCTGGAGCTCGCGTCAGTCAGGGCTCTCACCCAATCAAATGGTTTGCTGTTGTTGCGCATAGTTGTCGGCGACTGAACAATGTAATGTCAAAACAGCAATTTAAGATGCCAAGCAAATTACTTAAACTTTATTTTGAGGGCCTGGCTCGTTGTTGTGTTATGCAGTTCGTATCGCATAGCGGTTTTGTTCGCCTGCTGTCTTCAACTAAACACAGCAGTGAGCGTCAAGTTCGCAGACAACGTTGCACCCACGGTTTCTTCGCATGCGAAGTGGAGGAAAAGTCAAGCGCCTGAATTCTTCGATATTTGCGTTGATATTTCCCTCATTGTACCCAAAAAACATTTCTCTCCAGTCACTGTCGTTTGATGTACTGATTGCGGCTTGTTATGAGCCGCTGGCCTGACAATGTAAACAACGAGGAGGAAACGTATTGCGCGCCATTTGCGTCACGCAGCGCTCACGCGCCTCTGTAGACCGTGATCGTGATAATGATTAATTTGACATGCAAATACAGAATATTTGTTTTCTGTTTTTATTTTTATAATTGCTTTTTGTTGGAATATATTCATGTCTCGCTTCCCTGTTTCTGTATGTTTCTACAAGTTTTGTAATAAAAAAAAAAAATATATATATATGCGTGACCGTTAAGCGGAAGAGCACAGCTTCACAGGGTTAGCGAATGCATTGATTTAACCAAACGTGCCGGTTTCCCGCGATTATGACGTATTTAAAATGTATGTTAGTGATGGGAAGTTCGGATCATTTTACCGACTCGGACCTTTGAGTCTCGTTCAGCAAAATGAACGAATCTTTTTTTCGAGTCATTTCGTTCATTTTAGCAAAATATCATTAAAATGTTACGTGTTACTTCCCTAACACGTCTACTACTTACGCAAACGTTGATCACACTACAAAAAATACAAAACTATAATGCTATAAGAAACAGAAAAGATTATTCATTGTTTACCTGGGTCTTCAGTCTATGATTAGTTCAAAATGAACGGCCCAACACTAATGGTGCGTTCAAGTCATGTCGGACAGATCGTATTTGCGAGTTGAACGCACATGAACGCCACCACAAAGTCGTTATTACGAGTGGGAAACTCGACATTTTCTTCTAGCCGGAAAGAGAATTGATTAAAGGGGTCATGATGCGATTTCAAGTTTTAATTTCTCTTTGGAGTGTTACAAGCTGTTCGTGAATAGATAAGATCCCTGAAGTTGCAAAGACTA